GTTGTTACCCGATGTGGCAATGGTTAAGTATAAGGGTGATGGGAGTAGGAAGAGAAACGAAATTGGTTTTATAAATGTTGTAGGATTAGATTAATTATCAATAGACTTTGGGTTTTGAAGGATTTTCTTGATAGATTATCGGTTCAAGTATTGAAAGTTACTGAGGATTTTCTTAACTGTTTTTTGAGACTCTTGAAATTAGTCGACGGTTTGAGATGCACGCAAGTTAGTATCACCTACGGTTAAGGAAAAAAAAATTCACTTTTACACATAGTTTATTAGCACAGTGAAGATCATATCCAGTGTACAGTGACAGATCCAGAAACTCTTATAGTTTAGGGCATACTGAGGGGTGTAGAAAAAAAAATTCAAAACCAAATAATTCATCCGGATGAAAACGGTTTTGGGTTTTCCTTTTCGGCTTAAACAATTCAATTAACCGAATAAAGATAACTTATTCAAGTCGATTTTCAATTGACTTTTTATTAATTCATCGAGGTGTATAAACTTTATATTTTATATTTCAAACGAAAATATCAGTGCGTACTGCAAATGGACAAATTAACAATCAGGATATCAAGTTGGGGGCCTTTGCCTTGTTTTTATTGGGGGGCCTTGTCTTGTTCTTGTTGGATGCACAATAGGAAAATTTATTAAATAAATTTTTATAGCCTTTTCTTCAAAAATTGGTAGGTTTGTTGGGGACCTAGGACCCCTACCACCATGAATCGGATCCGCCGGTGCCAATGTATTTCTATCATCTGAATCAGTTGGATGACGATGGTGGCTACAATCTGTTTGTAATATTTTATTGCTTATCGTTGTCTGCTCTTACCCAATTTAGATCATATTTGCTTCTGCTCTTATGTTCTGATTAATTTGATCTAAGATCGAGAAATATGGAACCAACAATTGATTATTAATTTTTAATTATTGATTATTAAATTTTCATTTATTTATTATTTATTAGAATATTAGAAAAATTAATTAATAAAACCGAATAAAGTCCATTAGGCTCAATAAAACCGAATAAAGCCCAAGAAAATGGATTAAGGCCCAATAAAACCGAATAAAGCTCATTAGACTCAATAAAACCGAAAAAAGTCCAAGAAAATGGATTAAGGCTCAATAAAACCGAATAAAGCCCATTAAGGCCCATTAAACCGAATAAAAGTCCAATAAAACTGAATAAAGTTCATTAAGACCTGATAAACTCAATAAAGCCCGGTAAATGGATTACGATCCAATAAAACCGAACAAAACCCAATTAAATG